TGGAGCACCGAACACCGTAAAAATATCTATGAGACAATATGCTACTTCTTCAGCTCTTTTCGATTTTAATGGTTTTATAATACAAAATTTAGTCAAATGATCTTGATACACCAACACAAATTTATATTCACCATCAGCTTGACTTTGATAATCAATAAGATCTAATTGACATCTACTATTTAATTCAGAAAAAATCATAGGATTTGTCACGATACCTTTTTTTTCACTTTTTTGTTTTTTTACACATGATTCACATAAATTTAAAAAAATTTTGACGTTTGATTGAGTAATATTTTTATATTTTTTTTTGAGTTCATACATCATTCTGTCTCTACCACCATGTCCAATAGATAGGTGAATGTTAAGTAAAATATCATATAATTCTTCGTCGTGGACGTAAAATATAATATCAGAATTTTCTTTCATTGGACGTATAAGTTTTTCATTACCTTGCACTTCTATCACATCATACCGTTGTACTAACCAATAATCACGTGGCGATTCTTTTTTTCCTGTTTTAATACGTTTCACTTCACTTATTAAGGAATCATATTTTTCTTTCAGCAAAAACGTGCTGTTATTACGTTCTGTTGTTGTATTTTTTATAATTGTATCAAATTTGGTTTTCATTTTAAAGCACACTTATTAGTTATTACACTATACAACACTAAAAATGATTAAACTAACTAGTAAGTAAACTCGCAGTACACTGTCACACGAATAAGTCTAGTCTATTCCAAATGGTGTGGTTCAATACTATCTTATCTTATTATTTTTATTAATAACAACAACGGTAACAAATTTTGTATGTTATCTAATCCAGTCCCGGTCATATCTACCTAATGATATAAATTTCATACATTAACGAAAACCCAATCGGTATTTTATATATTAACTAGTAAAACCGTGTAATTTATATATTAACGAACATATTTAGGAATTTTATAGAATAACTAGTTATTTAATAAAATAACGTATTACATACATTACCGCTAACATATATATACATACCCAAAAATAGTCAAAAACATGCTTAAATTTCCAACTTAAAGATGGTTTGAATAAAAAATAAGAACTAGTTTGTATTTTAAACAGATCAAAATTAAAAAGCTTCAATATTTTTCAGATTAACCGAAAGAATAAATAAGAAAAAAATAGGAATTATTACGCAAATTCAGTTTTAAACAAAATCGGTCTTATTTTTTTTTTTTTTTTTTGGCAGAATTTTTAAACGGAAATCCGTTAAAATTAATGTGTTGACTAATTGATTGAATGATCGTTTTCTACACAATTTTATTTTTTTTATTTTTTTCATAAAATATATTAATAAAACAATTTTTCCTAGGTCAAAAACTTAAAAAAATATTAATACAATATACTATATAATTTGTTTATTGAGATATGAAAAAATATTTGAAAGATAAACATAATTTATTTTTCTGTAAGTATTTGACGATATTAATTATAAAGAGCAAAACAAAAAGAAATATTTGATTTGAAAATTAAATGTTAGTTTGTTTATAAGTAATTTATATTGAAATCATAAAATCTTAAAATGTATTCAATTGTTTATAAATTTGTGTATTAAAACTATAAATAACTATATTATTAATGATTTTATTCAATAAAATTGTTCTCAGGGTCAGTTATATATTATTATGTTGATGTGTTTTATACCCACAACAATATTTAAAAATACAATGTTTCCACAAAAAATTAATAGATCTACTGCATTACTATACTTACTACTTACTACTAATAAAATAAATTACTTTACGTAGTAGCAATAGATATCTAAAAAAAAATAAAAATAATAAAATATACTTGGTGGTTTAAGTTGATATAGCTTCTCCCCGCTGAGTATCGTTTTTGTATACAATGATAATATATCGCATTTAATTCAAATGTAACACATTTTTACAGTGTTCCTAACCTACTGTATAGCAGAACGGCACCGAATCGCTCACATTTTTTTTTTCTATTAAAAGTAAACGTTAAACGACTTTTGGACAAAATATAACATAAGGATTTATATTAAGATATATATAGCTATAACATAATAATAATTAAATAAAAACAATTAAAAAGTAGGCAAGTTAGATAAGTGAATACCGTTTTACTGTAAAATCGGTATCAATAAAATAACTATTGTGAATAAGTTAAATTTTAATTAAATGATATTGTATCATTATATAAGAAAAACGATTCTGAGCAGAATCGGTTTGCCAGTATATATCACAAAGTTAATTTTATCATATGTTTTTTGATACAATTATTTAAGTAATTTATTTTATTTTTAGTCTTACTGTAGATGATTTAATATTTTACAAAAATATTACATTTATTATATTATTAGAATTGAATTATTAAACAATAGTATTTATTTATAGCATATTATATCAACTTGTATAACTTAAAATGAAATTACATATTTTTGTATACATAGTAAAACCGTGAAATTAGATTCATAGTATGCACAAATAGGTAATATTTCAAAATAAATCAAAAATTTTATTATGTAGAGTAAAATTCATAGTTATATGATATACGAGTATAAATATACATAAAAGTGTTAAGTTCTCGTGAATAGTGTTTTTAAATCATAAAAATAAAAATAAAAAATAATATTGTTATTTTTATTCTCGTGTAATTTTATCTAAATTTGAACAATAATATCTATAAAAAAATGTTTGTACTTTTATATTTTATATTTTATAGTCTCAGTACGATTTACTTATAAAAAATATTTTATTACATTTTCTATAATTAGATTAGAAAAAAATATATAATGCATTTTTAACAACAAAATAATTAGTACATTTTTAAAATTTTGAAAAATTTTAAAATGCTTATAAAAATTATTATATCAATAGATTTTTAATATTTTTTAATTGAGAAATCAATAACTTATGCGTATTAAATTTTTAAACATTTTTACCAAGTAAATAATTTTTTATCAATATTCATAGAAAAAAAAAAAATGATAATGCCTATATAAATACCTCAAACATAATAAAAAGATGTTGAAAAAATTTATCACGTAATGAACAATTATAATATTATTATTTTCTGAAAATTTCTATTATCTTTAAATGTAGTAATATAATGTAGTATAATACTATAATATAATATTACTAAAAAAAGATCGGTATTTATAAGTTTTGTAATATCAATGATTGACACTATTATCAATAAATTAAAAAGTTTTTATTTTTTGTACGCGATACATAATAATGATATTTATTTTATCATTCGTGTTGGACATAAGTACATAATGTATGACTTTTATGGAATTTTAAATATTTTTATTTTAATCTTCAACAATTTGAACAAGACAATTGTGTAATTAAATAACTGCAATACAAATTAATGCTTTACTGATTTTCTACAGTTTTCATCGCACAAATAAAACATTAACTTTGGTAGAAATTTCACCATGTCATACTAATGAGTTTTACGCCACAGTTAACGATTTATATTCAAACTCGTAGTTGCAGTTTTAATAGTGCGAAAAAAAACATTAGTCTTACGACGTGGCTTAGATATTAATTATTTATACAGTAATATAATACTTTACAGTGGGATTAAAAATTGTGTCCAGTTAGAAAATTATCACGAAAAAGTTTTTAACGCAATTAAATTTCCAGCACAACTATGGTTTTGTCCTTTTTTTGTTTAATGACCGTCGAGAGACCCACCACATACAATATAATATTATGTTATATTATTATCACTCGTACAAAATACACATTCGTTTTAGTTTATAGATCAGTCGGATAAGTGTAGTGATTAGTGATTAGCGCCGTCATCTCCTTCAAATATCAAAAAGGTTTTGAAAATAAGTCACGCTGCACAGGTCTAGAATTTCTGACAGTTTTCTCGATTTTGGTGAAATTTTAAAACAATATTTAATCATAAATTTGAGCTCAAACTGATTGTAATTTGTGTAAGATCGTAGTATGAAAAACAAAAAACTCATCGTAATCATTAACTATAGATAATGTGACATGTAGTAAATGGATTTTCGAGGTCACAATCGTTCGTAATATCACTAAAGCTAACGAAAAGTAATTGCAGTATTTTAATAAAATAAGAAAAATTAAAGAATACAAGAATTTTATTTTTATTTTTTGAAATGGAATTGTAAAAAAAAAGAAAAGTGAATTCGATTTTTCGCAAATCAAAAGTGGAAGCACGACAAGTGAGGGCAAGTAAGATACAGCTTCCCTGATATAATGAGACCGAAGGGAATACAAATAAAAAAATAATGTAAAAACATGTATTTCTCAATTATTGAATATTTCTTCAAACTCAACGAACTTTGAAGTACTCGTAACGTTCTATAATAATTACTATTTATATTCATAGATTTTCATTTTTCGTTATTTTTACACTGTAAATTAATCCAGACAATTATTATAAAAATATACGATCGTCACAGCTGTGATAATCGCGTTATCGGCCGTCGCATGCCGCGATACCATTACGCATACGGCCCTATCGTCGTGTCTCACAACGATTGGGCCGAAACATAATATTATTCTGCAATCTCCGTTAGCCAAAATGGATAGAAATATTCACTAATACGGCAAGGCGAATTAAATAAAAACACACGTATAATATGCCTATGACAAAATCTAGCAGAAACAGTATTGCATCCTGAAGTTAATGCCGGGTTTTAATATTCCGATCAGACAGGACCCGTGCACTGAAAAATCGGGTTTCGGCACACGAGAGGTTTGTTCGTGTCAACGGCTATGTGCCCTCGTGCACGCGGCACGTACTTACGCGCGTTTAATTCGCAGTGGGGTAGGTCGTCCCGGTGCGCCCACACAACAACATCACATTATGTACGCCGAAAATCCACGGCGGTGTCGGCGACACGCGAAACCGCGTGCAGATTTCGTTAAGTTCGTCGCGTCGCTTGCCGCCGCCCGACGCCGACTACGACGCTGACGACTGCCGCTCCGCCGGTGGCGGTACATCAGTTTCATCGTGACCGTACGTAGCTCGGTCGTGCCCGTCGCCGTCGCGCTCCCTCTCACCCCTCTTGCACATTCGATCGCGATCGTGTCCACGTTTTCTCGCTATCACGTTTTCGTCTCCGATCGTCTGCCGAACAGCTCTCTGCCAATCCTCGTCCCTAAACTGCAGGATCGCTAGCCCCTGGGGGGAGGGTCGTCTCTCTTGATTAGTGGCGTCTCCGTGAGCGTTCGGCGTCGGTTGTCCAGGTGGTTCCGACGAGTGTACACCGGGAGCACACCCGTAAGTCCACGAAATATATGGGGCAAAACTGTGGTCCGCGTTGAAATCTCCACTTAGAGCCCGACCGAGATTTCGGTGCTCTCTTCGACGTGACACGTCACATATTTTTCTCTCGCCACAACTATACTAATCGCACTCGCCAACTGCACTCCACTCCTGCCGCCGATCTATAGTGTTGACAAGCGTACGCCGTGTTCCGCGTGACCTTTGAATTTGTACCAGTCGGTAAGTATTCAACGACGTATACAGTAAATTATTATTATAAACGCGTTTTTTTTATTTTTCTTGATGACACATTTTTATGGCTAACGCAGAGACCCTTATTCCGATATTAATATTTCCGATAAGATAATAGGTCCCGACTACTGTTTCATTTTATAATTATTATTATCGCATACAAGAATAACTTCCTGGCTCAAAAAGCGGAAATCGATTCAAATCGTGCGGTTGTCGTCATTTTTATTATTATGTCCTTTCAACGATAGTTTCGATTTGGGTCGTTAAAACGATCGAGAATAAACGATGTGCACGATCGCTATACGTATAGCTATCCTATAAACATTTAAAGTCCCGACGAAATAATGTTGTCAGGTTAGCTGTTGGATTTAATCATAAAAATCATAATATTTTGTACTTTCGTTGATACTACTATATACGCGGGATGATCAGAATGGATTCATGTCGCGAACGGTGGTTCTTAATGTGCTCACGAAGTCTTCGTCGACTTTGATCACACGTGTTTCCAATCGCTCTATTTTCTGTGTACGGTTTGCGCCAAATGAATAAAAATGAGTTAATGTTATTCAACCAGTTATGGTGTTATAGCTGTGTAAAAAATCATCGTTTTGACGAGAACTCGCGTGTTTTAATAATAAATTTAAAAATATACTCATTTTTTACAATGGCAATAACAACAACAAGCGGTGTATGTCAATTTATTTTCATAGGCGACGACGGGTGCTTAGTTTTATGTTCTAAGTAAATATATATATATATTAAAACATGCGGTAACTTCGATCGAGCAAAATTTCGTAGTTAGCTTCAGTGAAAAATACCAACTTTAATAAAATTATAAATCTGTAAATTTTTGAATGTTAAGACAATTGATTATACTATTTTAGGTTGGTGTATTTATTGAAAGATAAACATTTAATATTTATTTTATCGTTTGATCGTATAAATAATCGAATAATTCATCAGCTTATTATATTAATAATAAATAAAAAAAAGTCTATGTAAAATTACATAAATACTAAAAAAAAAATGTCCTTAATTTCTTACATTGCACCATTTAATAAAAAAAAATTAAATCTTTTAAGATCACAATGTGTAAAGAATTATCTTAATTGTTATTTATGTTCTGGTCATGGTAAGTAAACAACAAAGTTATTTATTTTTTTATTCATTTAAATGATTTTGTATAATTATTTTGGAACGTTACCCAGTTTTTCGATTAGAATGGAAATTTTAACAACGAAATTCATTTTTTGTATTATGTAATTAATAAAGTTTTGAAATTAAACATTTAGATTAAAGAATTTCATAAAATTATGTAAATTTTCGTCAGATTTATAAAAAAAAAAAAAAGTTGTTTTATTAAATATAAAAATATAATATTATGATTTATTCATTATTTTTATGGTTTTAAATGATATAATGTGTACTAGATACACCACAGCGTAACATAGGTCATCAAATTATTTTTCTCATTTTACTTGCATGTCTGTATGTATAATATAGAGGGTCATTTATAGATCAAAATGAAAAAAAAAATCTGCACAAACTACGCAACGTTTTTTGAATCTTTTAGCAAAAAAAAAAAAAAAAATAGTAACATTATTTCATTATAACTAATACTAATAATTATTACTCGTAAATTTGATTGAATTGAACTTTGGTTATAATTTGTATGAATTAATTGAATATTATTTATTACTTGAGAGTTTTCTTTTATCAACAAAAAAAATCAAAATCAAAACAGCTTTTACGCGGCGTATTGTTGATGTGCAATCAAAATAAATTGATCAACTATACACAAGTATAATTAAAAATTAACGGATTACGAGTTTCCTTTCTATTTCGCTGTAATTCCCTTTTCGCGGAACCGTTTTATGAATGTACCAATGATGATTAAATAATTCCAAATCATCTACGCCATTATAAACGTGACTGTCGGAATATGTCACAGTTTATTCGATCGGTTGGTCGTAGAAAAAATAATTTCTGAACGCGACATGAGGTGAGAACACGAACAAATTGTTTTTATTTTAAAAATGGATGGTTAAAATATATATCACTAAACTTAAAAACTGTTGCACATATAATTATGTATAAAATAATTGTATGCTATCGGTGTACGTAACATTATTATTTAATCTTTTTTAGAACGAAAATAATTGAATCATTTATTTTAGATACTTTTAAGATATAAGGTATAACAAAACACAGGATATGTATTTGTCTTAGGTACATATTTTCTATTACAAATATTTATTTCTCGTACGCACTTTTTCGGGTTGAAGGTACACATTTTTGTGCATCGACTATCAACGCGTGTCTCATGGTACGTTCAAAAATGTGTTTCTTACTCGACTGTCTCGGTGAATTGTGTAAGCACAAAGAAAATCTACCGTAAACCATCTGGATGCAAGTTGGAGGGAAATGTCTATAAGCTTGGGCTTAATAGAATTTTGCTCATAATTGTTTTTGAAGTCGGTGTATCCCGTATGACTTTGATTTTTTTTACGCTTTTAAAAGTAAAACGGATATCACTTTTTCATTTATTTTTTATTATTATATATATATATTTTTTTTTTATCATCCTTTGTTTGTGTTATTTTATAAAATTACTGCAATCGCGGCTCCGAGAAATTGGTTTCTTGTCAAAATTGTGATAGACAATAATAAATTGTTTAAGATCACAATACAGGTAATTTAATAAACGATTGTGCTGGGTGCAATGCTATTTGTTTTAAATTGTCCAAGACATATGTATATCCTCCTTCTATGTATGATTACAGTATAATTTATTTAAATTGTTGTGGTGAAATATTCAATGGTAATCGTCATTTCTAACATTAAAATGTTAGAGTTGTGGATTCTCATTAGACATAGTGAACGAATTTTTTTTTCTATCTAGTTTACGTTTGAACACCACAACACTAGTATAATTATCTACTCTACGATGACAGCTAGTATTAAATTTATGGTAATCCTATACGGTGACTAAATTATTATAATTATAATACGAACATCATAATCGTAACTCAATTGGATTTGTTACGCGACAAGTTTACTTGTCAATATTCTCAGTGTGAAATCGTCTAATTATTCTGATTAAAAAATGACGAATTCCTTCCGTTTGGTGATCATACATGATGATAGAAATACTGAAAAACTAACATCGTTTGATTAAAAATGCTTAAAACTCTTACAATATTTTTGAAGTTTAGAAAAAAGTGAAACGATGTAATTATTATGAACGGTGACTTATATATTATTAACTCAGAGATTTCGTCTCGAAACGATAACCCCCGAATAGCCAAGATTTTTATAATATTATTATAATAATAGATCCTGATGACTAATGGTTAGTGAAATATCTGTTGTAAGACAGTTTTAGCTGATAAACAACTTTTTTTTTCGTATTAGAATATAAATTAAATATTTTATTTTGTATTAACATTTTATATAATAATAAGACTTCATATTAGTTTGATTTTTTTTTTTTTTTACTAATATCGATGATAAGAGACTTAAATTATTAAGAATAATATATTTTACTTGTTATGTTACTACCAGGAATAACTAAATACGGTTTAATCAAACAGTTAATGATAAATAACTGTATATTAGATAGTACCTATATAATTTTAAAATTTGTAATCACACTATTTCATTTTTTTTAGCATCTAGTGACATTTTACAGGTTATTTTTTAACATGATTACGGATGCTTGAATAAAAACCAATTTACAATTATTATAATGAAGAAAAAATACATTAATTTTTCATAGGCTTTTAGTTAATTGATGTGAAAAATCGTTTACGACTAATCTGGCATAGTGCTTATCGAAAATTAAACAAATTTCATCATCTAGTACAAAAAATATTTTTTCAACTACGTATAAAACAAACATTTAAATATAAAAATTATGATAATAATGAACCAATAATATTGTACATAAGATAAAAAAAAAACTAAATTACGCTTTAAATGAAAAATAAATCATTGTGATAATTATGAGGATTGAAACGTTTTTAATTTTAAAATTGAACTTTTAATTAGTCATTTATGAATAATTTTCATAATACAGTGCCAAATCATCAACACCATAGGGGTTATTTAACTAGTAATCGTAAACAGCAAAGCCTCAAAAATATAAATTGGATAGTCAGTCACAAAAAAAATATATATATATTTATTATTTTTTTTTTTTAATGACAAATAAATAAGAAGAAGTATGCTATGATAAGACTTTCTTTAACATATATATTCTCAATATCGATAGACATTTAATCTATTTTACTGAAAAAAGACGATGTATTGGAAATATATAAAAAAAGAATAGTAAATGATAATGACGAATAATTTGTTATCAATATATTAGATGCATGCATTTATTTTATTTATTAATAAATGTTAACTTTTGTAACTAAGCATGTTATTATGATAAAAAAATAAATTTTTTTGTTATAATTGCATTCGAATACAATATTTTGGTTGTATTGTATATATTAATGGAAATATAGGTCCAGATTCTATGAAAGTTATACAATATATACTACCAAAATTTTATTACAAGAAACTTGTGAATAACTATTAAATACAAACAAACTTGAGAAAATAAAAACAAATATAAATAAATGGCGTTATATTACCACTAATATATTATCTCACTGAGCAAACAAGAGCATAAGTTGAGAGCACAAACATTACACACATTTGCGTACTCGTATACAGGTGAGAAAAAAACTTAACTGTAGCCAATGTAACGAAAGATAATGTGTTAGTTTTAGATTCTTGATACCAAAGCAATGTATGTATTGGTTTTACAATGATGTGTATTGTTTTATATATATATATTTTTTTTTGATTCTGAAAACACTTTTTTATCGTAGAAAAAATACTTTATATTCAACTTCGAAAGAGGTAGGTTTCTAGAAAAAATTGAATCTAATTTGTTCTTTGAAATTCTAAAAATAGAAATATCTCAAAATATAAAA